AAAAATACAAGGACCTTGAAACAGAAATCGCAAAAATGTGGCATATGGGAACATCAACAATTCCTGGAGCCCTATGATTGGTTACAAAAGATTTCAGTAGACTAATTGAAGGGATTACTGGAAGTCCAAGCCTCAAAGAGATACAAAAAATGTTCTAGCAAGTACAGCCCACACTTTACGAAGGGTTTTATGTATGCATTTTTTAATTTTTTTTTTTTGTCAGTGGAAAGTGTCATAATGCCATTTCTAACCTTAGGTCCCTGGGCGGGACCCGGAAAGAAATGTGTAAACGCCAGAAATCAAAGAAAATAAAAATAAAAATTATAATAATAATAATAAACAATAACAACAATACAACATTTTTAATGTATTGTTGAAAATCTTCAAAAATCTATCAGTATAATAGGATCCTAATGTGTAAATCAAAAAATGTGACACATGTGGATATCAATAATTTGAGTTGTAATTGGAGCCCTTATCTATGAAAAATGTGGGTGATTTTTATTTTTTACAAAAAGTGCAGAATGTCATGAATCCATTTCTGAAATTAGGCCTCTGGTTGGGACCCGAAAGGAAGCGTGTATGCAACAGAAATCGAAGAAAATAATAATAATAATAATAATAATAATAATAATAATAATGATAATAATAATGATAATAATAATAATAATATTAATATATTTATGATATTCTTGAAGAAGAGACATATCATTAGGAAATCTACTTAAATCGTTCTTTTCTCTAAATGTTGAAAGTACAGTATTAATAATATTATTAATAATGATTCTGGTGATGATGATGCTGATGTTGATGCTGCTGCTGATGATGATGATGATTATGATGATTACAAACTAGCAAACTGGAGCGGGCAGAAAATTGATATTATTTATAATATTTTATCTCTACTTGCAGTTGTGGTAAAAGTGTGTAAATCTATTCAGAGATTTCACCATGCTATTAGATAATCTAATTGAATCTCATGGACAATAGCCTAGTGGATTTAAGTGTTGCTTCGTGAATTTGGTAACAGCTTAAGTGTGAGTTCTATCCCTCGGCCCGGTATTATGCAGTTGGATTTAGTGGAAACGAGCCAAGTATTAACGGTGCAGTACTAAAGACTAGACGAGATAACCCTAGAGATAGGAATCGAAACGGGAACAGTCTGCCCCCATAGACTAAATAAAGAATTCAGTTCAATATCGCTTGACTTACAGCTGAAAAATGACGAAAATCTTCCGATGAGAACAAGAAAGAAAAATACAATTTACCCCCATGTAAATAATACAAATTCTAACTGAATGGAAACACCAGACATTTTTACTATCCAGAAATAAGAGAAACTTTGTTGGCTTATGGGGTTTATTTCAGTATTTTATTCAATATATTTCGTCTTCTTCTTGGTATTTATCCAGATCATATGTTTTTTTTTACACTTCTTGGATATTTGTTTATGCATTTCAGTTCTACTACCAGACAGAATTGTGCTCTAAATTTTTCGGGTATACCAAGTCCTTAAAAAAATTAGTTTTTTTTTTATTTGTTCTGATTTTGCGATGTGAATCTGGCAAAAACAATTCTGCACATACTTGTATTATTTATTTATTTATGTAGATTTAAGCAAGTTGAACATTTCCGGATGAAATCCACTATTATCAATTGTTATTCATTTTATTATATTTTATATATGTCTTATCATCGTATGAATTTCCAATTGTTTTCGCTACAGATGAGTCTGACGAAAAAATCTTGATTTTGTCGCACTTTTGATGCTATCCATGCCAACTTAATGATACTGCTTTTTGGATATCTTGAAACATTCCTTAAATTCGCATAACATCAAGTCATTGAGCAAAAATCGATAAAATGTGCATTTTTTATGAAGATAATTAGCGCTTCTCATGGTCTACGACATGTTCAGTTTCAATTTTGCTGTGAACTGGTTTAATCGTTTTTTTTTTTCTTTTTTGCACAATGAAGAAATCTTTACTGTTGCAAAGAAAGGAAAGGTTGAATTTCTTTTCATGTGCATTACCCCTTTAGGTTGTAGGGGAACATGTCTCCTCAAAGCCTCCTATAATTTTTTAGAGAAATGGATATTTTTGGCCCATTTTCCAAGTTCATATTCTCTCAAGCATTTAAGTCATATAGTTGGGCATATGATTAACTGTTCCAATCCAAGGATGACTTTCCATTATCAAATTCTTCAAGTCCTATTTCCTCATTAGCTTTTACAGACATTTCGACTATTTCTTTCTAAGAACAAGTATCTTATTCATTTTCAATTTCGTTAAAAATTCTTCATTTCTCGCATTTTTTCACTTATAGAATTCATAGCGTCTTATTTTGAATATCAGTGTTTAAAATATTTGTAATATTTGCCTTTTCACTAGAGATTGTCAGCTCACGTCAATTTTTTCGTTTAATTCAGTGCTTCCGATTTCATATTTTCTAGGAAACTTTTTCTCTTTACATGCTAAATATGAAATCATTTAAATCTACTTAATGGTTATAAGGTTTTATTATGGAACAATTATACAAGGTTACTCAATAACTTTTAAAAAATCAAGTGATGTTGGTGATATTTTAATGAAATACGTCAAAATTTATATTATATGTTTTTTATTAGAAACTTATTTTATTGTGTGATATTTTATCAACTCGATTTTGCGTTGTTTGTGAATAAGTATCTATAAAAGTATAATGATTGATATTCAATTATTATTATAATTTATTTAATGTTTGCAACGTTTCTTAAGCAGGAAGAAATTTTAAAAAGAAACAACTTCTTTTAACGTTACTTGTTGATGTTAATGCAACTTTGATGATTGATTAAGTTGAAAAGAACAAGAAAATCAAAGTAAATCATTGTAAAGATTATAAAAAAAAAGCACTCTGTTTATAATAATGATAAATAAAATATAGTCCTCAGGGGAAATTAAATGTTATCAAGCAAAACAAGCAAGAAAGATGAACTGAATTTGGTGTTTAGAATGTAATTTTAGGAAAGTAATTGGCTAAATTTGGCTAATAATTCCACATCCTTCTTGCTAAAATACATTTCAGAAACACCAAAATAATGGAATGATCCCCAGGGTTTCAACTTATTATTCTAATGGACAATATATTGCTCAATAATAACAGAAGGGAGAGCAATATTCAAATAAACACAATCTATAAGAAACAATAATAACTGCTGTATGTAACGTTGGTTAATTTTTTGGTTTTATTTCTTTTATGACATATCAACCTCTGTGGGTCATTTAATGCCGAAATCTAAATATTCTGTACGCAGTATTATATATTTTCTCATTTTTTGGATATAATAATGTTTTTACTGATGCAAGTCTTACTTATTAGCTAGGGGGAGAATAGGTGTATACACACCTTTTCCCAACGGGAATTGGAAGGCGACACACCGATTAACATTACCCGAATCATCATCCATCACACCAACTGCACATCAATGCTTTGATCACCTTGTATTCCCAAGCATTCAACCATCAAGGTACTGACAAGGTTCGGTGTTGCTTGTCTTCGGTGATCTTAAAAGTACCGGTGTTTCAACATAATGGAGCAAGAAATATTAATGTTGAAACGATAGAAAAGTGAATAAAAATAATATGGAAAGACTAAAAACTCTTATAGTATATCAAAGATTCTCTATTTACTAATCGGAATCACCCCAAGTAAGGCATTAATGACACTAAAACAGAAGGGGTTACATGAAGATTAACATTAAATAGTAAGAGAAAGATTAATGATGAGCAGAAAGAAAAGAGAGTAATCAGGCGAACACTAGACAGCTATTGATATTGTATTTACAAGTTGGCTGGAAAGTATTGAGCCGTAAGGGAGTTCCACAAGCGAGAAGTGCGAAGAAAAATTGGTAGAATGTACGGTTACATCTAGCCAGCTCAAATGTAAATTGATGAGATCTCGACACCAGTCAAGTGCTGCGCTTAAAATAATTACTTATTTATTTCTCATGAGGGTTTTTATATATATATATAATATTATTTATATATATATATATATATATATATATATATATATATATATATATATATATATATATTCACATTGGTCTCTATATTTTAGATTTATTTATCATTAAAATATATATTCAACGTATTTTCTTAATAAAATCAAACACTCCCAAAATAACATAATTTAATACGAACATATAATTTGAAAATCAAACAGTATATTTAATATATATAAATGTATATATACATTTATATATAGTAAATATTTTTATATTTATATCCACAAAAATTTACTAACATCTTTTGATTAATACTAATTCTATTGTGGATATTTTGATTTGCTTAATAAAATCCTGATATATTTCCATTTATAGTTTAACATATTAACTTGCATCGCCTCCTATGATGTTTGAATAGATTTTACTATTTGTGTCTTTCAGAGAAGCTAGGTTTCAATAAAGACAACAGACAAGGAACTGCAATGAAGCTTTTTCTTTAATTTTTCTTGTGTTGAATCATGTTTTATCTTTTTTGGACACAGATTTTGTAGAAACTATTCAAATATCCTGTAATTCTGACTGCGAAATTTTTTTTTTTTTTGGAATCCAAAAAAAATTTCGATTGAAGATGGAACAGAGCTTACTTTAATTCCATTTAATTCAAATAATTATATTGAAGTTTTAGGCTCTTGTTTTGAAACATGAAACCTCTTATGTGGCGTGTTGGAATCATATTTTTAAATAAATAATTATATTTATTCTCTACTTTTGTACCGAGCACTATTTTTTTTAAAATAATTACAAAAATACTAAAGAATTTTGGATTATTTACCTAACCAGTTCTTTCATATTTTCTATATATTTTCACACACACACACACACACACACACACACACACACACACACATATATATATATATATATATATATATATATATATATATATATATGTATATATATATTGTTACGAATCCCGATCTAAATTTGTTATAAAAAATAGACCATTGCTTATATTTTAGAAGCATTCTAAAATAAAGAGCCCAGTATTTGCAGAAAATGTAAAGATAGTAAACCCAAAGAGATAGGTAGATTTAGTGGCGCCAAGGATTGAACAGAGTGTACCATTTCCTTCTCTTTTGGTCAAGGTGTTGACAGCATGATTTACGCGGATAGATTCTGGTTGGGAGAAGTTGAAACACTTTAAACTAAACCTTCTCTGACCCTGAAGATGAGAGAGAGGGTCGATGACCTCATTCCAGCCATAATGTGAAAAAGTTAGTATTTTGAAAATTGACCACGTGAAAAGAAGAAAACAGAAACGAAGAGCGAAAGAGAAAATTAGTCTTGACCGGGCCTGTAAGACGTCTTGCAAATGTCTACGTATGCGGAACGCCGCTATATCAAAGAGAGAGAAAGCAGTTTCAACTGTCAACAAGCCCTTGAACAAAGCACGAGAGGGAAAAGAAAGAAAGAAAGAACAGACCATCTCGAGCGTGAATGCTGTTATACCAAGATGAAAGAGAGAGGGAACGCATTTTCTGCTTAATCATCAGCCAAAGCCCTAGACGAAAGAGAAGAAGTAAGAAAAGACCTCAAAAGGAGCCCCCTTTAAAAAGAAATAGAAAAGGAAAAAGAAGAAAAAAAGAAGTAGATAAGACTAAAATACATTATTAGTGAAAAAGGACTTTATTCTGAGTTAAGTTTATTGTTTTTCTTGTGTTCCGTTTTTGCTTAAATATACCTCTTTTTCATGTTTGTACTTTCATGCAAATTTAGCATGAAATTTTTATTACATGATCCTTTCCACATTGTCTTAAAATGTTGATGTTTTGCGAATCCGTGCACGTATAGCACATGTTCTATAAATTCGGGGCAGTATGGCACAAGGCCATACGCCGGTTTTTTATTTTTTACCTTTCTTAAAGGACGCTCTCCTCCCACTATTTTGTCCACAATGTTTAAATGTTTATTCTTGACATATCATCATTTTTGTTTTGGCCATTTTTTTTATTATTTTTATGTTTTCCACGATCCCATGTTTGTTAATAAATTTATATTTTCAGTCTCCATTGTTGTTTGTCGCCTATCGTGTTTGTTCCTTAATCAATTCCGCCCGGCCGTGTCTGATCAATTGGAAAGAGACCCTTGGGAAAGATATATATTTTACAAAAAAAATGTAAAATGTTAAAAAACAAAATAACACAGATTACGATCTTCCTCTATCCTCTACCTTCGCCATCGATAAGGTTGGAAAAAGGAAGGAAGGAGAGGTGTTCGTAAGAGAATATATATATATATATATATATATATATATATATATATATATATATATATATATATATATATATATATATATATATATATATATTGTATATATATATATATATATATATATATATATATATATATATATATATATATATATATATATATATATATATATATATATATATATATATATAAAACTCCAACCTCATAAAAAAAAAAAAGAGTCCTTTTACAGCTCAAATAGAACGAACTATCCACGTTTGCAAAGTGAAACATTCTCAAAGCGGTCCACTGAATCCAGGAATAGAATAAAGTGTAATGATAGGTTGAGTGATTGAATCATGTACGGTCATTGGTCGACTCGACTATGACAACTAGCATATCTCTTACATATATCGTTATAATCCGTGTTTTATAAAATTTAACTTTTACATTTAGATGGAATATCACTTTGCATTGTTCCAGGTGTTCAATCAATTAACTTTTTGCAACAACGTTCGCTTTCCGACCAGAAAACCTGAGTTTGCATCTCACCAAGTTCGATCTGTCAGGAAGGTGACCTTGATGTTATCGCCCTGCACATACGATGCAAGCGTCCGGTACCTTTGGAGATCAATATCACGGGTTGACCCAAAGTCTGCGAGTGATAATTGGTACACAGAACGATTTGAGAGTTGTCGATGGTTGAGAAATTCAGTTAAGAATGTTCATCTGTCGACACAACTATAACATGAAAACGAGCAAGTAGCATTTTTTCTTTTCTTTGTCTCTGTTGAAACTTGACTAATGCATGGAATAATAATACAAGTAGAACAAAATGTATTGAAGCAAGAAAGTGTACACAATATTTACATATAGTCTTTTGTATCTTCTTGGAAAGACCGTTCCTGGAGCATGGGTTGACTTAGTCGCAGTCGGGCAGAGTCTCTGGATTGAATCTCTTGATTCCTCCCCTCGTCTTCCCGGTACCAACCATATTTATATGGTCGGTACTCCACTATGCAAATTAGGTGGATCCTACCACAACAATCTCTGACATATAACTTTATAATCTATTTTTTATAACATTAACTTTTACATTTAGCTGAAATTTCAGTTTGTATTGTTGCAGGTATTTAGTGGATTAACTGATGGTTGAGCTAGCAGGAATTAGCAAACCGTGACAGAGGTTTTGAGTGTATTCTCCTTGTTCAGACTGTTGATCACACCAGATAATCTGCTCCCTCGAAGACTGTAACTAAGGCCCTCTCATCTTAGTTACAGTAAAAAAAAAAATTGTGCGATCTGTGAGTTTTGAACATACAAATATATGTCTGAGCAGGCGTATGCAATAGGGAGGTGGTAATCGTTCTACGAGATAGTCATATTCGGATACGAGATGACCAGCCATTACTATCAACACTCTTGAGTTGATGATTCCTCTAACGCCTTCTTTAAATTTTGCATAAATCTACCAGTTTGTTAATTGTAATGTCGAGGTTTCTGCATGTTCATATTTTTCCGGATCGTATTAAACCATTGACTTGAATTACATTTTTGACCAGCCTACCAAAGACCTGTTTATCTGTGTTTTTTTCCCCATTAATCTGGTTCATGCTACTATTGCTTTGGTGTTGGCTTTTCACTTATTATTCATTGACCGATTTTACCATTAGTAACCAGAGTATTATGACCGTAAACTGTGATTTAGTCTCCTCAATACATTAATACTTTCATAATCGATCAGATTGTAATAATACTAGCCGGCTGGATAGTACCATCTCTTCTCAGATTGCATTTCTTTCAACCTTTCTATTCGGCTATTCACCCATGTTTTCTGAGTTGTTATGATGACTAGAACAAATGCTTAATCTTAAGAAAATGCCCAAAATCCCAGGCGTATATATAAAAAAGAATAACCTCTCGCTTCACAATCTGTTGGATGTAATTTACAGTTTGATTGAATAGTGAATTCCACTCTCCGGCATGTTTAATACTTTTAATTTAAGTTTAACCCAACCAAGCTTCTGGCATATACTGTAATGGTTATTTTAATTTATATTATGCACGTTCTCACATGATTATTTTTGAGTGTCAATAACAATAAGAGAGAACAAATCTTATAAAATTCTGAGCACTTTCTTAGTATTATCACAGGCACATAATTCGACAATGGTCTTGGCAGGCTGATCTTTTCTTCGAAATTCTAACTTTTTCAATCGGCATTGACAACCACACCGTTTCCATTGTTTGCAGAATTTAATTTAATGTTATTAACCCACATTTATTTCTAAACTATACCTAGTAATACTTGTTATTATTATATGTAAATCAGCAGTATCTTGTAATCCCAAACGCATCTTATTCTAGTAAAAGCTGTTGTTATTTTCTCTTGGAGTAATGTGTTCCCCTAAGTCAATCTTTGAAAATATACTATTTCTGATGTGTTGACGTCAGATATTCGAAACGTCTTAAATCATTGTACAAAACGTTATATAATTCATGATAATCCATTCGCTAAATTAATTCTTCCACCGATAGTCATTTTAAGTAAAATTGTTAGAATTGTCCTCCATAGAAAGATTAAATTCCCAATACCTTTTACTAATAAAGAAATAATAATGATTTGATTTTATTATCGTCATTATTCTGAATTAACGGCTATTTGAGTTTCTCTGTTTTATTAAAAAATATTCAATCAAGATAGATTGTTGATTAATTAATTTTCGACGGCTTATCACTCATTTGTAAATTATTTAAAGCTAAACAATATTTGTAGATTTAAGTTTTTGTTTGTTTGTTTTTTGTTTTTTTGTAGATAATAATGTTTTATTGATACAAGTATTACTAATTAACTCGTAGCTGGGGAGACAAAAGGTGGATTCCAACCTTTCACAATAGTATTTACGCGTAAGTTAATATAACGAACCCAAATAGAAATGGAACTGGGTTAACAGATTAACAATTCCAAGCCATTATCCATTACAGCATCATTTCATCCAAGCACACATCGACTGGTATTCACAAGCTGTTACCCAAATAGATACTGATGAGGCTCGACGTTGCTTAACATTATTGATCGTACGGGAACTAGTGATTCAACGTGAAATGAACCTAAGCCAGGTAGGTTGTGGGAGTCTCTAGTAAGAAAAATAAAACGATAATTTTAATATTTATTACTGTGACAGTAACATGAATCACCGTGTTTCTATGGTGATGCATGCATTTGATATCTAGGATACATTTATATGTATATACTTGTATAATATTTGATTTTTTAAAAATTCCAAATAAGACAAAAGTGTACTTGTTCCGAGATAATTGACAAAACTATCCAGTGATATTTAGGATCTATTGTTCCTAATTTTTATTATCTACTAAAATACGCTGGAGTTTTTTTCACTAACACTATTGAGTTCGTTACAACTCTCCCTCATTGTTTCTTTTCTGATTCATGTAGAGAATAAGCAAAAAACAATGGTCTTGTTCAAAAGGCATCCAAATTTATCTTCGAAAATACAGTTGCGATTATCTTAAAGCATTTAACCTGAATTTATTGCAATATTCAAACGCTGACATTCATTGGGTTACATCATCATGCTTTTTACAATCAACATATATATATACACAGACGTGTAGCGAAACGAACCATACAAATTTTAATCGTCAGACTGGTTGAGAGAATTTGTTTAGTGGCATATCAAGCTCTATGGGTTATTTATTGCCGAAATCTAAATATTTTGAACACAATTATATGGTTCCAACTAAAAATATTTTGAACGCAACTGTATACTTTTAACTACAGATAAAATGTATTATTGTTTATTTTGTTGTATAAAATTTATAGCTGGTATTTTTACTATGAATATATATTTTTATTATAAAAATATATTTTTATGCTTTCATAGATATTTTTTGTGGGGGTGAGTATTTGTCCAGAGGTGGGACACTAGCAGGTGCTTCCATTACAGGTCAGGCTGAATCTGGAAACAACAGCAATTGGGAAGTGGTTTTACGCCCCTAAAAACCTGCAATCAACCAATCAAAGGCCTTTATACCCAGGATTATTAACCGTTTACGATATCAATTATGAATGTAGTAGATAACAATGAGAAATAATTTTTAATTTGCTTTGTTTAAACTCTAACCAACCAGGCCGGTCTCAATTATAATAATTGAAGACTATTAATATTCATAGCAACATCTGTCAAAAGTTAGTGTTTGGGGTTTTAAACTTGA